AATGTTAAGAATATTAAAAAAACCCCAGTATGAAATAGCTTATAGTATCATCTTTAATAATGCTGTGACCTACTTCCTGACTGGAAAGTCAACAATTTCATCATCGCTAAACGCCGTCAACCTTCCCTAATGTCACTAACATGTCAGCCATTTTAATTAGTAATGGAGAGTGTCTGTCCCATTTATCTCAACATGACTTAATTGAGTTTGAAGCCTGCACTCCCCACCATCCTCATTTTCATCCCCGTTCAACACTGTTTTGCTCATTACAGTGGAGCTCAAGCAGAATTTGTGAAAATATAGTGCACATTAAGAAGTTATCTGTGGGGTAAATTATCACAGCGCATAGGCCTCTATGAGATTACAGTTATACTGTGCTCATTCACTAAAATTCAATGCATTTCCATCCAATTATATTGCTTTAGACAAAAAGGCGATAGCACAAAGTATTTATAGAGGTGCGACATGAGGAAATGAAAAGCATCACATCATTAGGCCTAATAGCCTAATGGTTCAATCATTCCGACTGGTGAAAATAAACTGGAATGCAGTGTGCTGAACAACAATGACACCCTGTGGTTATTTGTAATTAATACAAGAAATTCAGTCGCCTCACTTATACATTTTGGAGTCTTGGTCAAGCAAGGACCAATATTTATTTACCTATAACAAAAACTATAATTGGGCATTACTTTATTTAATAAACTTTATTCTCCAATTCAATAATAATAATATCAAAATCAAATCAGCAGCTGTTCTCTTTAAAAATTAGTATCAGTTCTCCAAGAGTTGCATGGTTTTTCCATTTACTTTGGGAGTTAGGCTGTTACACCATCTTGGAAAACTTCCCCACATTACTTCATGTATTTAGGCTGTTTCACTATCCTTATGCTGACTCCAGAATGTTGAAATCAGAGCTCTGTGGGACTTCTTTCAATTGATGATGTAGCTTTTTGATTCTTTTGGATCATTGTTATGCTTCCAAATTCATTTGGGGTTCATCAGATGCTTCCCTGGTGGATTTGTACTTCTCAACACTGAAGAGACAGATCATTTTGACCAAATTGTCAAACTTGCCAAAATTACTCCCCAAACCTTGAGGGATCCTTAGACTACACTCCTTGCATAAATTGTCTGCCCTTTGGAGAACAAACTGGCTTCTGTTAGTGGTAAGGATTTATACATCACCGTAAAGGAATTTTAGCCTACTATTTTTTGCACAGTTGTTTAATTCAGCCACACTGGGGGTTTTTTGAGCATAAATGGTCAGGGTACAAACTGATGGCTGGATATTCTCCTTCTGGTAGAGAGCAAAACTCATGGTTCCATCAACTGCAGCAAGTCATCGAGGTCCTGACGCAACCCCAGACAATCACACTACCACCACGTTTGACTGTGGGTATGATGTTATTTTTATAAAACACCGTGTGTTTTAGGCCAGATGTAATGGGTCACAAACCCATATGTTCCCAGAATTCATGGGGATCATCATCAAGATTTTTATTGGCAAATGTGAGACAAGCCTTTGTGCTGTTTTTGGTCAGGAGCAGTTTTCTCCTTGGAACTCTCCCATGGATGCAATTTTTTTGGCCTCCATCTTATTGTTCAGTCCTTTGTGGGGTCTTTTGTGATCTCCTGGATGAGTAGTCAAAATGCTTTTGAAATAATTTTGGTATTGGGGAGGTTCGCCACTGTTCCAAGTTTTTTCCATTTGTGGATAATGGCTCTTACTGTGGTTTACTGTAACCCTTGCCACACTCATAAACGTCAGTGACTTTGTATCTCATCTGTTTTTGAGTTTCTTTAGATTTTAGATTATTCTTAGATGTTATTATCCTTTGCTTTTTTTTTTTTTTTTTTAGCTAATTAATGATTTAATGAGTGGGTAGGGGTTGTTTTTCACACAGGGCCAGGTAGGTTTGGATAACTTTTTTACTTAATAAATTAAATCATCATTTGAAACTGCATTTTGGTTTGGTTTTGTTTCTTTTGGTGATGAAGTGTGACAAATATGCACAATCCAGCCCCCTCAAT